AAATGACATCTCCACTGGGCCCCCAACCCATTCTTGTTGCAACATTCCCCAACCCCCTGCTTCACAAAAACCTAAAAAAAATGTTTTTTACCCCATACACTTTTTAACCCTTCCCTCTTTTCCTATAAATTCTCAGCAATATTGGTTTCAGGGGTCCCAAATCTTAGCTACTGGCCCCACCTCTCAACCTGCCTTTTCTTGCCAGATTCACTCCTTTCCCCAGACCCAAAAGGGGCTCTCATTTTGCCGCCTTAAAGTAAGGTTTGTGAGCATGCCTCCACCATTTCTTCACTAAGATTATTTTAAATTTCCGAACACCCTCTGAAGAAATTTCTTCTTGACATTGCGGGAACTTCTGTGTTTTTTTTAATTTTTTAGAAAGTGTCCCTGATTTTCCTTTTCCCCGGGCCCCTCAAACCGTCTGCCCGTCACCCTATCAAATTCCCCTTGGGGTATTTTTTTTTTTTGTTAACATATCTCCCCCTGGTTTTTTCTAAATTTACAATGGGCATTAGATTTAAATTTCCCTTAACCCCCTCTCCCCATAGTTTTTAGGGCCCCCTTTAAATCAGGGAAAAGCCCTTTTGGTACTTCTACATTTTTTCCATTTTTTTATTAGCTTCCTCAGGGGTGGGTTAAACCCTACCCTTTCCCGCACATTCCAAAATGGGGAAAGACATATTTTGCAGAAAGTGGTTGGGAAAAATTCTTGTTGGGGGATTCCTGAGGCCACTCCCTTTGATTTTCTAGGCAAGCATTAAACTACCTAGGTTTTTTTTAGTTGATGGACAGTCTGAGTAGGAAGGGATGTGAAAGAAACAATAAAAGAAAAGTGCAGATGCAAAGGGATGTGCAAAAATTAAGACTGAGGAGTATCCTAGAACTGGGAAGGGCAGAAATGAATTAAAGGAAGAGAAAATGATTTTTATCATCATTTTGGTTCACTGGAAATGCCAAACTTTTAAGGGTTTTACAATGCCAGTAGAGAGAGGCTGGAGGTAATCAAGTTAGATCCAAGGAAGGTGAGGATAGGTGAGGATAAGTCTAATTCCTTTTCTTAGGAGCCCTACACTGGTATCAAGGCACTCCCTTGAAAGATGAGAAATGAATGTATATGCATATACGTAAATTTGTGTGTACGAAGGGAAGAGAGAGAATATGAAGATAAAGGCAAGTGTGTGAGAAAACATGTCATGCATTTGAACAAAGCATAAGAAGTGGCAATAAATAGGTCTAAGTGGAAGCAGTGTGTCAGGAAATGATCAAACTAAAAAAAAACCAAGAATTTTTCCCCTAACTAAACCTAATGAAACCCACACTCCCCCGACACAGCTAACAGAAAACGACTTCTTCTAAAACCATAGGATCTAATCTCCCCAAATAAAATCCCACATACTAAAGCCATGCCGGGGACACCTAAGGGGAAATTTCCCCAAAATTCCTTCTATCTTGCCCCAACTGAGCCCTGGGAACACCGAAAATTTTTAAAGTCACTTAAAAAACAACTCGGGGAATCTGTCTAATGCCCCACCTTTATGTAAAAGCAGGGGCCCATACCTTTCGCATGCTTTTCATTTTTTTTTAACAACCCTTTGAAACTACACCTTCCCGAAACTACCAAGATGGCAAGGGTTACACCAATACATAAGGGTGACCCTACAGACTTAAACAACTAAGGCCAATATCAAATTTTCCCATGCTATCCAAAACTTTGGAAACTCGGCCAGGAAATAATCTTTTTATAACAGCACAAAACATCCAAAACCCCGCCAATTTGGTTTTGGGAAAATAAAAGCACTAAGATCAATCAAAAAAATGCTAGATCGTTTTACACAGCTTTGGGAAAAAAAGGAAATTCCCTGGGTTTTTTATTGACCTAAAAAAAAGCTTTGACACAGTAGACCACACATCCTACTCCAAAAACCTTACCATTAGGGTAAAAAGGCCATGCGCTTGCTTTTTCAAACTTCCCTTTACTAATGGGTACAGTATGTTTCCATTAAGACACAGCATCAAAAAACATGACCACTTGATACTGGGGTTCCGCAGGGGAAATTCCCCCTTTGGTCCCCTGCCTTTTCCCCAATACATCAAGATCTTTCCCAAAATACCCAAAACCTGAAACCCCTTCTCTTTGCTGACGACAAGACTTATGTCATCTCCACCCTAATCTTGCCCCCCCTCAACACCATTTTAACGGGAGCTGATCAAATATCACTTGGATACAGCCCAAAAAACTTATGCTTAACACTGCAAAACCACAAATTTTTGTTTGGTAGCAGAGCAGGAGATACAAATAAAATTTAAAATCGACAACACTCTAAAACCAGACATAATGAGGGGAAATTCCTAGGCCTATACCTTGACAACAACTGAATTTCAGTACCCATATCCAACACATAAACAAAAAAAGTATCCAAAACAGATGGGGACCCCCCCAAAATACGATACTAAAGCCGCAAATGCCCTTCTCACACTAAAACCACTCACTTTTTTTACCAACCTCACCATGCTATTTGTGCTTGGGACAACGCAGCAAAAAACCAAAACCCCAAAAAAACCCAACAAAAGCTGCAGTAAGAATAAACACTAAATCCCACCCGGCAAACCCCCCCCCCCCTTTCATAGATCAAACTTACTCCCTTTAGTAAAAACCCCACTTACTACTGGCAATCTACATCTACAGGGCCTTAAACTCCAATATCAAACCTTTACCCAAAACTTTTTTGATAGTTGTGACAGAGCCCACAGGCATAACACCAACAAAACATCTCTACGACATTCCCCAGCCCACAAAAACCTTTTACAAAAAACAATGTATTCAAAGCTCTAAAAACTGGGAAAACCCACCTGAGAACTCAGAACTGCAGACACATTTCACACCTTAAAAAAACCATTAGAAAACATCTTATCTCCCTGATAAACCCATCAACAAAATACCGAATACCCCTGGGGTTCACACTTACACCACTCACCCATTTAAACCCATAAACAGAAAAATTAATCTCAATTTAAAAAAAATAACCATGATACCCAATACTAAAACTATTTATTTGGCCAAAAAAAAACATTCACATTGCTAAACTCACAAACTAGTATTTAGTCACTTAGCCATAATACCAACTTACCTCATAATTTGTAATATTTTAAAATAAAGAATTAAACTAAGTCTGCCCGAAATGCCTAGCCATGCTAGGCGTTCTAGTGGTACACTCTGTAATCATTATTTAACTACATGTAAACCACACAACAACCCAATTATGTAAATTCAACATTGTAATCTTTATAGAGAATAAACTTTGAATGATACTTAACCCTTTGACTGTTTCGGTCGTATACAGTGGACTCCCGGTTATCGGCCGTAATCCGTTCCTGAAGGTCGGCCGATAACTGAATTAATATTTCCCATAAGAATTAATGAAAATAAAATTAATTCGTTCCAAACAAAAATATTCACAAAAAATTTTTTTTTTTTTTACAATTATGTAAGTATTACGTACATACCTTTATTGAAGGCTAATGCTGGCTTCTGGAAGATAGGGAGGAGGAAAGAGGGAGGAGTTAATGTTTGGAAGGGAAGTCCCGTCCATGAAGACTTTAGGTAGCAATGCCTTCTCTGGGGTTATTTCCCTTCTCTGTCTTTTAATGCCACTAGAACCAGCTTGAGAATCACTGGACCCCTGTCTCACAAAATAACTGTCCAGAGTGCTCTGTTTCTGGCATCTCTAAGATTTCCCTGAAGTGGGACAGGGTTTTGTCACTAAACATGTTGCAGATATAGCTTGTTTCAGCTTTGTCAGGGTGGTGTTTCTCTACAAAAGCTTGCACCCTGGTCCACATTGCACACACCTCTTTAATCTCTGAAGAAGGCACTTCCTTCACTCCCTCTTCCTCCTCCTCTGAAGCAAGTTCCTCAGCTGCAGTCTGTTGCTGTTCAAGTTGAAGCTCTTGCAGCTCTTCAGTGGTAAGCTCTTCCCTGTGGTCCTCCACCAACTCTTCCACATCCTCACCACTCACCTCCAACCCCAAGGACTTCCCCAAAGACACAATAGAGTCCACAGGGTCGGCAGGGTCAGGGTCACGGTGAGTCTCAAACCCTTCAATATCCCTCTCTTGGACACAATCTGGCCACAGTTTTCTCCAAGCAGAGTTCAAAGTCCTGGAAGTCACTCCCTTCCAAGCCTTACCATGGAGCCATGGTTACTTATTTTACAGTTGCACTGCAAGAAAAACCACTAAAAACAATGGTAAACAAGCGAAATGTTTGAATGTATGAGCAGAAGCTTCCTCAGCCACCGAGAGACAAAGCCAAACTGAAGCGCAAGCTGCCCCAGCCGGCGAATGGATGCATCCAAAACGGTCGATAACCGAGCGCCGATAACCGAGCTGGCCGATAACCAAACCGGCCGATAACCGGGGTTCCACTGTATATACATCTTACAAGCCAATGTGTTTTACGTACATATACTCAAAAATTCTAGCGGCTTCAAATCAAGCAGGAGAAAACTGGTAGGCCCACATGTGAGAGAATGGGTCTGTGTGGTCAGTGTGTGCAGTATAAAAAAAATCCTGTAGCATGCAGTGCATAATGAGAAAAAAAACGCCAACTGTGTTTTTGGATTAAAACACCAACTTTGAGGTTCATTTTCGTATGGTTTTCATGGTTATATTCTCGTTTTCGTAGTCACATTTGATAGAATGGAAAACATATTATAGAAATGGAAGCGATTTTGATTGGTTTTACTATGAAAAGGACCTTGAAATGGAGCTCAAAGTAGGGGAAATGTTTGATTTTTGCCAATGTTCAAGAGTAAACAAATGACGTCATTGTCCAATAAATGTCCAACTAGCCATTCTAATATGCAGTCATGAATGAGCTGATATTACTTATACAATTATTACAATATTGCAGTAGTCTGCATAACAGTAAATCTTCTATTTTTTGTTTGAAAAAAAAATCTAAATAGAAAGCAAGAGTATATAAGAGGGGCCTGGAGACATGACTGATGAACAAAGAAAATGTTATTTTAGAGCTAGGAATGTCTGCATTGTTCATTCTAGACCCTATTTTGAAATTGGCATATTTTTTAATTTGCATGAAATTGGCCAAACTGCCAGTTTCTGACCACTTTAATGGGTAGTTGACATTGGTAAATGGGCAGTTTCTTGTACTCAATCGATAGAACAAATGAAGTTCTAAAGAAATAGCTATGAGTTTGGTCAACTGGAAGAATGGAATTAGCCGAAAATAGGCCTCAAAGTGGGCGAAATCGCTGATTCGTAAATACCGCCAAGGTTGCTAACTTCACGAGAGCGTAATTCCGTAAGTTTTCCATCAAATTTCATACTTTTGGTGTCATTACTATCGGAAAAAGATTCTATATCATTTCATAAGATTTTTTTTTTTTCAAATAATTTGCGACACCAGGAGACACCTCAGGATTTGGGGTTGCGACAGACAAAGGGTTAAGTGTGGCAGTACTAGTTTACCTTGCTACTTGGTGTTGAGGTACTAGTCTGCCATATTATTGTGGGGTCACCTTATAAAAGTGGAATAATGAGTAACAAGATGGCTGTGAAATTCTAACATACACTGAGCAGTAGAAGGATCAATTAGTCCAATATGGTTGGTGACACGGTGGACAACACATATCTGTCCAATGCCACCTAGCTGATGAGCTAGCTTGGAAGGGAGACACACCACACTGTCTTTACAAACCGTTACAATTTCAACACTGAAAAGATAAAGTGAAAATTAATTTTACTAATGCTGTATATATACTGATTTATTATTAAACATATCCAAAGTAATAAAAAATAACACTATAAGACAATCTTATACAAAACATCACTAGATCAGGATCAGACATGTGTATTTAGAAAAGGCTCCACAGTAAAATTTATGTTTCTCCAATTTAACCCTTAAACTGTCCGAACACAGATCTACGTCTACGTGTGGGGGGGCTCCGAACATAGATCTACATTTTTTCTACATGCTTTCAAATGGGGAAAATCAAGGTTGGAGCGCTACGCACGTGAACGTAGATCTACGTTTGGACAGTTTAAGGGTTAAACATGATTGTGAGGGAAAAGTTCATTAGATAGGAGTGGAAGCATGAATGAGTAGTAGTGGTGGTGGTGGTGGTGGTGGTAGTTTGTTGGGCAGTATGCTTATTCTGTAAAGTGTATGCATCATTACCACTAATCCCCTCCCCCCCCTCCTCCACCCGGTGGGAGTTGACGTGTGTCCATCCGACAAGTTGACAGTCACTTGAATTTTGGCTCCTATCAAGTTTGTATCTAATCCATTCCTGTTTAATAATACATTTTGTGTTTTGTTCAATTTAGTTTAAACAAGAGCTTCACCCTTGTTTAGGTTTATATTCTGGTAATTCAACCTGACCTAATATGGACTTACAGAGAGTAATGTAATCATATTTGTCCTCATCGCTTCTTTTAAAGGCAGTATGCTTATCATGTGAGTGATTTCTTGAATGGTTTGTAATTTTCTGTTTCTTTTTATAGTCTTGTTTGTTGGATCGGGTAATCTGACACAGGCGAGATAAGAGGGGCAGCAAAGATCTATACTTAAATCAGAGATATAATCTGGCATCAGTACCTAAACTGGTCTCCTTCCGCTTGTAGCTGACACGCAATCCTCTTCATACCATCCTAAAGCCGTTCTCCACTTGTCATCCCAACAAAATTTCATTGTGGTTCATGACTGGCAACTCTACTGCTTTGGATGGGCTGTCAGAGGATCCCAGTACCTCAGTTCTTCATAATCTCTACTCATGTTGAGGTTACTCTCTATTTTCTTCAGGTGTCACAACAGTCACATCCACCAGTCATCAACACCAGTTCAGTGCTCCAAACCATGATTCAGAACTATGTGCCCAGGACATCAGCACGACACTGCTATTTTACTCACATATTAGGTCACACTACACATACATGTACACGTTTATGCATACACACTCATCTGAGTTGAAAGCAGGGGGAAGGGGGGGATAGTGTTGGAGTGGTTGGTATTTTTTGTATGAATGAGGGGAAGGTACCTATGGATTGGCAGAGAGCATGTATCATTCCTTGATATAAAGGGAAGGGGGACAAGAGAGATTGTAAAAATTATAGAGGAATAAGTTTACTGAGTTAAAGGTAGTAGGTTGGTAGACAGCAACCACCCAGGGAGGTACTACCGTCCTGCCAAGTGAGTGTAAAACGAAAGCCTGTAATTGTTTTACATGATGGTAGGATTGCTGGTGTCTTTTGTCTGTCTCATAAATATGCAAGATTACAGGTACGTCTTGCTACTTCTACTTACACTTGGGTCACACTACACATGTGCACAAGCATATATATATACACACCCCTCTAGGATTTCTGCTATTTTCTTTCTAGTTCTTGTTCTTGTTTATTTCCTCTTATCTCCATGGGGATGAGGAACAGAATTCTTCCTCCGTAAGCCATGCGTGTTGTAAGAGGTGACTAAAATGCCGGGAGCAAGGGGCTATTAACCCCTTCTCCTGTATATATTACTAAATGTACAAGGAGAAACTTTCGTTTTTCCTTTTGGGCCACCCTGCCTCGGTGGGATACGGCCCGTGTGTTGAAAGAAAGAAGAAGTTTACCGAGTACACCAGGTAAAGTGTACAGTAGGGTTATTATTGAAAGAATTTGAGGTAAGGCAGAGAGTAGGATTGAGGATGAGCAAGGAGGCTTTAGAGTGGGTAGGGGATGTGTAGATCAAGTGTTTACATTGAAGCAGGCATGCGTGAGCGTGTTTGATAGGAGTGAATGGAGACAAATGGTTTTTAATACTTGACGTGCTGTTGGAGTGTGAGCAAAGTAACATTTATGAAGGGGTTCAGGGAAACCGGCAGGCCGGACTTGAGTCCTGGAGATGGGAAGTACAGTGCCTGCACTCTGAAGGAGGGGTGTTAATGATGCAGTTTAAAAACTGTAGTGTAAAGCACCCTTCTGGCAAGACAGTGATGGAGTGAATGATGGTGAAAGTTTTTCTTTTTCGGGCCACCCTGCCTTGGTGGGAATCGGCCAGTGTGATAATAATAAAAAATAATAATGTGTGAACAGTATTTAAATAAAGGTAGGGAAGTTTTCATTGCATTTATGGATTTAGAAAAGGCATATGATAGAGTGGATAGGGGAGCAATGTAGCAGATGTTGCAAGTATATGGAATAGGCAGTAAGTTACTAAAAGTTATAAAGAGTTTTTATGAGGATAGTGAGGCTCAATTTAGGGTGTGTAGAAGAGAGCGAGATTACTTCCCGGTACGTATAAGTAGATCTTAGACAGGGATGTGTAATGTCACCATGGTTGTTTAATATATTTATGGATGGGGTTGTAAAAGAAGTAAATGATAGGGTGTTAGGGAGAGGGGTGGGATTAAATAATGGGGAATCAAATACAGTGGACCCTCGGCTAACAATTTTAATCCGTTCCAGAGCTTGTCCTTAACCAATTTTATCATCAGCCGAATTAATTTTCCCCACAAGAGATAATGGAAATCCAATTAATCCATTCCAGACACCCAAAAGTATTAAAAAAAAAAATTTTTTTCACATGAAATATACAATTTCCTACACAGAAAACAATGATACATGAAGAATAACTACTACTACATGCAGAATAAATACTACATGAAGAATAAATGACACTTACCTTTATTGAAGATGTAATGATGAGTGATGAGATGGGAGGAGGGGAGATGATGGAGGTGTATTATTGTTTGGAAGGGGAATCCCCTTCCATAAGGACTTTAGATAGCAAGTCCTTTTCCAGGGTTACTTCCCTTCTTTTTTTAATGTCACCGGGAACAAGCTGGCAGTCACTGGACCTCTGTCGCACCAAAAATCTGTCCACAGCTCTCTACCTGGCGTTCCTTTAAGATTTTCCTAAAATGGGCCACAACATTGTCATTGTAAAAGTCACCAGCACAGCTTGCAATAGCTGTGTCAGGGTGATGTTGTTCCATAAAGGCTTGCACCTTTGTCCACATTGTACAAATGTCCTTAATCATTGAAGAAGGCAACTTCCTCCATCTCTCTCCCCTCCTCTGAAGCAATTTCCTCAGTTGTGGTCTCTTGCTGTTGCAGATGCTCTTGCAGCTCATCAGTGGTTAGTTCTTCATCGTCGTCCTCCACCAACTCTTCCACATCCTCCCCACTAACCTCCAACCTCATGGACTTCCCTCAATGACACAGTAGATTCCACAACTGGTATAGGCTCCTCAGGATTAGCCCCAAACCCTTCAAAATCCCTATCTTGTACACATTGTGGCCACAATTTCCTCCATGCAGAGTTCAAAGTCCTGCAAGTCACTCCCTCCCAAGCCTTACCTATAAGGTTGATGCAACTGAGGACACTAAAGTGATTTTTCCAAAACTCTCTTAGGGTAAATTCAGTGTCTGAGGTCACTTCAAAGCACTTTTGGAACACTGCTCTGGTGTACAGTTTATTGAAATTTGAAATGAGCTGCTGGTCCATGGGCTGGAGAAGAGAAGTGGTATTAGGAGGCAAAAACTTCACTTTGATTAAGCTCAACTCCCCCGCAATTCGCTCTGGCAAGTCTGGAGGATGAGCAGGAGCACTGTCTAATACCAGGAGGCACTTGAGGTCCAATTTATTTTCCATGAGGTAATTTTTCACAGTGGGGCCAAACACATGATAGAACCAATCATGGAAAATGTCCCTAGTGACCCATGCCTTACTGTTTGCCCTCCACATCACACACAAATAAGCCTTGATAACAATGTTTTTCTTGAACACTCTGGGAGTTTCAGAGTGATACATGAGTAGAGGCTTAACTTTGCAATCCCCACTAGCATTACTACAAAACAGAGTAATGTAGGTCCTGTTTGGTATTTTCTTCCAAAAAAGGCCTCTTTTGTCACAATTAAACACTTGTTCAGGTTTTAAGTTTTCAATGTCTATGTACTAATTGAATTTCTGCACATATTTTTCAGCCGCTTTTTGGTCACAACTGGCAGCCTCACTATGCCTTATCACACTCTGTATGCCACTACGATTCTTAAATCTCTCAAACCAACCTTTGCTGGCCTTAAATTCACTAACATCACCACTAGTTGCAGGCATTTTTTTTAATTAAATCGTCATGCAACTGCCCTGCCTTTTCACATATGATTGACTGTGAAACATTATCTCCTGATAATTGTTTGTTGTTGATCCACACCAATAACAGTCTCTTCACATCTTCGAGTATTTGCGATTTCTGTGTTGTAAGTATACTTGCACCTTTTGCAACAACAGCTTCTTTGATTGCCTTTCTGTTAGCCAAGATAGTAGTGATGGTTGATTGGGGTTTGTTGTACAACCGGGCCAGCTCAGAGCCACACACTCCACTTTCATACTTTGCAATTATCTCTTTCTTAAATCTGACTGTACACCTCACCCTTTCTACCACAGGGTTGGCACTAGAAGCTTTCTTGGGGCCCATGGTGGCTTATTTAGCAGTTACAAGCACTAAAAGCAATGGAATAATACAAAATGTGTCAAATGTATGCGTGGAACCGTCCGCCCTGGCTTGTAAACAATGGCACACTAGCTGAAGGCAGGGAAGCTGAGGCGCACTCAGGCTGGACGGCCAGGCGGACACATTGGGGACGATCGTCCTTAACGGGTTTTTCATCGTTGGCCGAGCCAATATTTTTACACTAAAACACATTGCTATCCAATGTCATCATTAGCCAAGGGTCCACTGTACAAAATGGGAGTTGACACAGTTACTTTTTGCTGATGATACTGTGCTTATGGGAGATTCTAAAGAAAAGCTGCAAACATTAGTGGGTAAGTTTGGGAGGGTGTGTAAAGGTAGAAGTTGAAAGTGAATACAGAGAAGAGTAAGGAGATGAGGGTATCAAATGATTTAGATAAAAAAAAATTGGATATTACATTGGAGAGAGGGAGTATGGAAGAGGTGAATGTTTTCAGATATTTGGGAGTTGACGTGTCAGCGGATGGGTTTATGAAGGATGAGGTTAACCACAGAATTGACAAAGGAAAAAAGGTGAGTGGTGCATTGCGGTATATGTGGAGACAAAAAAACGTTATCCATGGAGGCAAAGAAGGGAATGTATGAAAGTATAGTGGTACCAACACTCTTAAATGGGTGTGAAGCTTGGGTTGTAAATGCTGCAGTGAGGAGGCGGTTGGAGGCAGTGGAGATGTCCTGTCTAATGGCAATGTGTGGTGTAAATATTATGCAGAGAATTCAGAGTGTGGAAATTAGGAGAAGGTGTGGAGTTAATAAAAGTATTAGTCAGAGGGCTAAAGAGGGGTTGCTGAGGTGGTTTGGTCATTTAGAGAGAATGGATCAATGTAGAATGACATGGAGAGCGTATAAACCTGTAGGGAAAGGAAGATGGGGTAGGGGTTGTCCTTGAAAATGTTGGAGGGAGGGGGTAAAGGAGGTTTTGTGGACAAGGGGCTTGGACTTCCAGCAAGTGTGTGCGAGTGTGTTAGATAGGAGTGAATGGAGATGAATGATTTTTGGGACCTGATGAGCTGTCGGAGTGTAAGCAGGGTAATATTTAGTTAAGGGGTTCAAGGAAACCGGTTATTTTTATATAGTCAGACTTGAGTACTGGAAATGGGAAGTACAATGCCTGCACTTTAAAGGAGGGGTTTGGGATATTGGCAGTTTGGAGGGATATGCTATACAGTGGACACCCGAGTTTCGTTATTAATCCGTTCCAGAGCGCCTGCCGAAAGTCAAAAATGCCGAATGGCGAAACCATTTTCTCCATAAGAAATAATGGGGATAAAATTAATCCGTTCCAGACACCCAAAAATATTAAAATAATATATTTTTTTTGGAATTAAATAAAGATTTACATACTGAAAACAGTGAGAAATCAAGTACATGCATATAAAAAATAATAATAACATTACACTTACCTTTACTGAAGACTTCTGGGTGGATGGAAGACAGGAGGAGGGAATAGGAGGAAGGTGTACACTATTGTTTGGAAGGAGAATTTCCTTCCATTAGGGCTTCAGGTATGAAGTCCTTATCTGGGGTTACTTCCCTTCTTTGTTTTTTAAAGACACTGGCACCACTGGGAACAACTTGAGAGTCACTGGAACCCTGTCGCACAAAATATCTGTCCAGAGAGCTCTGTTTCTGGCGTTTCTTTAAGATTTGTCTGAAGTAGGACACAACGCTTGTCATTGTACATGTTGCCAATACGGCCTGCAACAGCTTTGTTAGGGTGAAGTTCATCCATAAATGTTTGCACTTCAGTCCACTTTGCACAAATGTCCTTAATCTGTTTTTTGGTAATCCACACCAACAATAACCTCTCCACTTCTTCGAGGATTTTGTCAGCATATCTACCCCTTTTGCAACAACAGCACACTTTATTTCCTTTCCTTTCGCCACGATCGAAGAAATGGTTGAATGGGGTTTGCCATACATCCTGGTAAGCTCTGTAACATGCGCTCCACTCTCATATTTTTCAATGATTTCCTACTTGAATTCAATCGTGTTCCTCACTTTCTTTACCAAAGGGCTTGCACTAGCTTTCCTTGAGCCCATGGTGACTTATTTAGCAGTTGCAATCACAAAAAACAATGGATTATTATGTATGAACCAGCGGGGTGATGGTCACGTGTTGGTAAACAATGGCACACTGAGCATGAATGGCGTGGGAGACTGGCTTTGTGTGCGCGGTGACAGGCGGACGGGTACCAGACGGTCGCCGAATCATGAGTTTAATCACGAACCGCGAGGCCAAATTTTGCCGAAAAAACTTGCCGAGTCGGATTTCACGAAAGTCAATGCCGCCGAAACTCGAGGGTCCACTGTATATCTTTATATATGCTTCTAAACTGTTGTATCTGGGCACCTCTGCAAAGACAGCGATTATGTATGAGTAAGATGAAAGTGTTGAATGATAAAAGTATTTTATTTTTGGAGATTTTCTTTCTTTTTGGGTCACCCTGCCTCGGTGGGAGACAGCCGACTTGCTGAAAAAAAAAAAATTATGTACATATTAGCTGAGTCACCAATTATTTATATATTTCATTCTTTGCTTCAGGTAGGATTATTTTCATGTTTAAGTGTTTTATATTCTATACAAGTTCTACATATTAATAAAATTGTTTATCTTATTATGTTATCATTGATTTTTCTATCTTTTCCTATCCATAAGGAGGAATTGGCCTTATCAAATACTCTTTGAGGGTCTGATAGGGCTGATGAACCTTCACATATGATAGACAACCACCTTTTGCACCTCCACCTACTGCATTTTGGAATGTTAGTGATTCATTTTTTGTATCTATTTTCACATTTAATTCCAAAGGTTCACCTTTTGTTGTGGCTCTACCTGTTTCCAGTCATGGAAACCAGTCATCGCATCAGTACAGGCAGGCCAACTTCCCTCCCAAGCACCTCGGGCCTCTTTGTTTCATCGTAGACTTGGCTTTGTTGGACACCGACCCCTTTGCCTCCCACCCATGCCACCACCAGTTGCCTTGAGGATGCATACCATACGATTACTCTTTCCTGTGTTATCACTGCATTGCCTGTCTATTTATCACCCTGTGTCATGTCTCGATATTAATCATGGCTTCAAAAACGAAATCATGCCAAGAAGTTTAAGTATGAAACTATGCCTTTAGTGAAGAAATTAGATGTAACAGGTATGGATAAAGGTGATGCATGTGTGATTGATGCAGCCAAGGCCTATGACATGAGGGAATCAAAATCATTCAATTTGAGAAGAGAAGACCTCGTGTGATGAGTAACCCAAATTGTGACCTGTTGGGAAAAAATGAGAAAGCTATCAATGCAGCTAAATAAAGCTGAAAAAATGCTTAATGACTAGATTCAGGAGAAACATGAGCCTCTTAATTTCTTTGTGATCCATAAGAAAGGCTTATCTTACTGTAAAACAGTGTGTGAGCAGGAAGGAAAGCCTACAAATGAGTTTACCTTTAGTTATGGATGCTGTTGTCTCTACTGACCATACAGCAAAAAAAAAATTTTCCTGGTATGGCCTTACTTCACCTTTCCACTGATGCCAAGCCAAAACAACCAGAATTTAATATGTGTATTCACAACGCTTGACTTTTATTAGGTTATGCTAGGTTAAATCATCCTGTACCAGACTATAACAACATTTTAATGTGCCCATTAACATCTGCGTGCCTTTTAAAATCATCGTATAATAGTTAATTATTATTTTAGGTGACTTGTGTATTCAAAAGAAAAGTTGTTTGGCTTTTTTGGAGGTAGCATGCAACATAACCCAATTTTTCCCATAAGATGCTCACTTCACCCATTGTGCTTCATGTATACCTCGCTTTTTCCATTGTGTTTCATATATACATGTACCTCACTTTTTCTGCTACATAACTTGCACAAAAGGTAGTTGTTTGCTGTATATCAAAACTGCACTAGTTGAGCACCTTACAAAGAAATGATATACATTACAGTATAAATACTGTATCAAGAAATTCTCTAAGGCAATTTATTCTTTACCTGAAGGTGAACTTGTAATTGTAAGAGTTGGAGTGAATATCGTGAGAGATAAGTTTCTTGGAGTGTGTCCATCGACAGGGAACAACTGACATGAGGAAGTCTACTAACTGTCTTGCACCTTGTTCATTGGTGTAGTAGAAGTCTAAACCCTCTGAAAACAATAATAATAACTTGCAGTGACCTCAGAAATATTACAATAGTTTGCTGGCAAAATTCAGGTTAAGATTTTCTTCACACGAAACCACCACCATCTATTGCCTTGGCTAATACTAGTAGGAAACATGATCAATACTGAAAATTAGGCATATTACAAAACTGATACACAAGAGCAGGACAAAATGTTTTGCAAAAAAGAGATAAGGAAAAACACTAAAAAGTGACACTTCACCTTTACAAAGTATCAGATGTAGAATTCTGACATTATCTTACCATGAGCTGGTTTGATGCCTAAAGTCTTCTCATGAGCTCTGTGTTTCAACATCAACTGCTCTAGGTAGTAGAATGTCCGCTTGTGGTCTGTCTTCTGTCGTACCTAAAAAAATTACATCAATAGAAGAAATCCTTTCATTTACATCATAAAAAAAGAAAGTCTCTAAGAGAATAGCACAATACTGTATATATAATGTATGTACTCGCCTATCCTCACCTATATGTAGTTGCAGGGGTGGGGTGTGTGGATTTATGCATGGTATTTGTGGAGACAAAACTTCAGCTACGGAGGCAAAAATGGTGACGGTGGTGGTGGTGGTAGTGGTGGTGGGTGGGGGGTATGTATGGTAATTGTTGAGACAAAACTTTATCCACGGAGGCAAAAATGGAAACATACCACAGTACAATGGTTCCAATATTGCTATATAGGTGTGAAGCATGGGCTTTAATGCTTACACTGTCCAGACCCCAGAAATTAATATTCCTCTCGGTGTCCACTATAAAAAAAAAAATCTGAAATGGTAGAGAATCTTTTTCTAAAAGTAATGAGACCAAAAGAACAAAATTTATGGAAGACTTATGGAATTACACAGGTGCAAAGTTAGTGGTCTTGGCGCAATTTATGCATTGGTAATTTCACCAACTCTGAATCCTATTTTAAGCCAATTCCATTGCCCCATTCAACCAAATTCTTAGCTATTTCACTAATATGCCTTCCATTCTATCATCTGAGGACAAAAATCTCTCACTCAACTATCACAACTAGCATATAAAGTGCACAGAAGTTGGCAATTTGGCCAATTTTACACAAAATTAAAAAAAATATACCATTTTAAAATAAACGATGTAGACATTTCTGGTACTAAAATGACAGTTTCTCTGTTCATTAATCACATCCCCAGGCCTCTCCTATATTATACACTTGCCTTCCTTTTTAAAATTTTAATCACACAAAAATAAAAGATTTACTCTAGTTCTCACACAATAAAATATAAGAGAAATATTGGCAAAAATGTAATATTTCCACAGTTCTGAGCTTAATTTTAAGCTACTTCCAGTCCTAAAACCAATCAAATTCTCTATTTCATTAGTATGTCTTCTATACTATCAAATGATACCAAGCAGCAGTCAATGAAACCATGAAAACCATCCTAGAAAACACCTCAAAGTCACTATTTTAAACCATCCACATGGTCAGAGTTTTGTTTTACCCATCATGAAATGTATGGGTCAGGATTTTTTTATACTGTCCATACACCGCACAGCTCCATTCTCTCATTTATCGGCCAAAATTTACTACTTAAAGCTTATCTAAGTGAGATGAGATCATGATGCAGAACTATGCAGGGACCCTAGTCCCAGTGACGTAGTTCTACTTGATGGCGATTGAAAGGGTTAATTTCAGGGGTTGTGGACAGAGAAAGGGTTAATTTCAGGGGGTCTGGAGAGTGAAAGGGTTAATTCAGAGGGTCTGGACTGTGAAAGGGTAATTTCAGGAGGTCTGCACAGTGAAAGAGTTAATTTTAGAGGGGTCAGAACAATGAAGGGGTTAACCCTTTCAGGGTCACCAGGCCCTCTCCGAGACTTGCTCTCAAGGTCGCCAAATTTAAAAAAAAAAAATTATTTTTTCTTATGAAAAGATAGAGAATCTTTTCCCAATCATAATGACACCAAAAGTATGAAATTTCATGGAAAACTTACAGAATTATGCTCTTGTGAAGTCAGCGGTCTCGATGATGTTTACGCATCGGCAATTTTGCCCACTTTGAGCCCTATTTTCGGCCAATTCCAGTGTACTAGTTGACAAAAATTATAACTATTTCGCTAGAACTCCATTTTTTTCTATCGAATGAGTACAAGAAACCACCCATTTACTGATTTCAACTATCCAATAAAGTGGTCAGATTAGCAATTTTGCCAAATTCACACAAATTTCAAAAGATGCTAATTTATGAATAGGGTCCAGAATAAACAAGAAAGACATTCCTGGCACTAAAATAACATTTCCTCTGTTCATTAGTCACGTCCCCACACCCCTCTTACATTCTTTTGCTTTCCACTTTGAATTTTTATTCTCACAAAAAATAGAAGATTTACTGTTATGCAGACTACTGCACTATTGTAGAAATGATATAAATCATATCAGCACACTTGTGAAAGAATATTAGACTCACCAGTTGATGTGTATTGGATGCTTAGCATGATTTGTTTACTTTTAAACTTTGGTAAAAATCGAACATTTCTGCTACTTTGAGCTCAATTTCACGGTACTTTTCATTGTAAAACCAGTCAAAATCATCTCAATTTCTGTAATATGTCTTCCATTCTATAAAATAAGACCAGGAAAACTAGAATACAACAATAAATACCATATGAAAATACATTGCAAAGTCGCGGTTTTAATCCAAAAAACACGGTCAACATTTCTTTTTCTCATTACGCACTGTGTGCTGCAGGTTTTTTTTTTATACTGCGCACACTGACCACATAGACCCATTCTTTCGTATGTAGGCCTACCAGCTTTCTCTCACTAGATCTGAGGGCGCTAGAATTTAGGCATACTAGTACGTCAAAATCCCTGGTGCGTAAGCCGTACTAGTACGTCCGAAACCCTGAAAGGGTTATGAGCAAGGTTAAAAATTACACCAAGAAAAACAAAGGAGAATTGTATTACCACTATAATAACCAGCAAAATATTACAAACCTGTACTACTGCTCCCCAGTAATCCTTGGCTTCAACCCGGTGACAATCATCACACATCTGACCCACCACGACAAACTCGACTATAAACTCCTGCTGGAGCACTGCCCCGGCCTGGATCTCTTTCTGCACTGCAATCTTCACCTGAAAATTAAGCAAATGCATGTTGCTCTTTTGTGCTAAACCCTAACTTTAGTACTGTCACAGAATCTAATATTTGTGGTAAAATATTCTTCATATATAACAATTATATAACAAATTATATGAAGCTGAAAGCATTGAATTTTTTTTTTAATAAATTTAATAACTTCACCAAGAACAAGCTTTGTCTATATTTCAAATAATTATGTCTTACACATTCAAACTGCTCCACACCCAATGAATAAACTGACAGTCATACCTGTGTTAAATAGCTGTACATTAAAAACAGTTCAAAGTTGTAATTACAGTACAGTAGGGCCCCATGTATACAGCAGGTTAGGTTCCAGGCTACTGCTGGAAAGCAGAATGCTGTTTTTTTCCACTTACAAATGCATATGCCAGATAACAAGTTTACACTAACATATATTAACCCTTTGAGGGTCAACAGGACCTCTCTCAGACTGTTCTCAGGGTCGGCCAAATTTAAAAAAAAAAAAAAAAAAATTTATGAAAAGATAGAGAATCTTTTCCCGATCATAATGACACCAAAAGTATGAAATTTGATGGAAAACTTACGGAACTGTGCTCTCGCGAAGTTAGCAGTCCCGGCGATGTTTACACATTGGCGATTTTGCCCACTTTGAGCCCTATTTTCGGCCAATTGCACTGTACTAGTCAACAAAAAACGAATATTTCACTAGAACTCCATTTTTTCTATCGAATGAGTGCAAGAAACCACCCATGTACCGATTTCAACTATCCAGTACAGTGGTCAGAATTTAGCAATTTTGCCAATTTCACACAAATTTCAAAAGATGCCAATTTCCAAATAGGGTCCAGAATAAACAAGAAAGACATTCCTGGCACTAAAATGACATTTCCTCTGTTCATTAGTCACGTCTCAAGGCCCCTCTTACATTCTGTTGCTTTCCACTTTGAATTTTTATTCTCACAAAAAATAGAAGATTTACTGTTATGCAGACTACTGCATTAGTGTAAAAAATGGTATAAATAATATTGGCACACTTGCGAAAGAAATATTAGACTCACCAGTTGAAGTGTACTGGACGCTTGGTATGATCTGTTTACTTTCGAACTTTGGTAAAAATCGAACATTTCTGCTACTTTGAGCTCAATTTCTAGGTACTTTTCATTGTAAAACCAGTCAAAATCATCTCAATTTCTGTAATATGTATTCCATTCTATAAAATGAGACCAAGAAAACTAGAATACAACAATAAATACCATACGAAAATACATTGCAAAGTCGCTGTTTTATTCCAAAAAAACGGTCAAAGTTTTTTTTTTCTCATTATGCACTGTGTGTTACAGGATTTTTTTTATACTGTGCACACTGACCACATAGACCCATTCTTTCATATGTAGGCTTACCAGCTTTCTCCCACTAGATTTGAGGGCGCTAGAATTTAGGCGTACTAGTACGTCAAAAAACCTGGGTCGTAAGCCGTACTAGTACGGCCGAAACCCTCAAAGGGTTAAATTAGCAATAGAACTAGGCATTAAAAACAAAAAGTAAAATACACACACAGTACACCCATTACTTACCTTAAAATATTTGTAGTCTTAATGTAGGGTGATTATTATCAACATGGGAGAGCGCTAAACCCGTATGATTATACAGCGCATGTGAGGGAGGGATGGAAGGCATTCAGACTCAATTCAGGGAACTGGAGCACAGATCCAATTCCCTAGATCAAGAGCCCCTCACCAGCATCAAGGAACCTCCCTTGAGGGGTTAATGTCAGGTGAGAGGTGAGCTTTATTCATAGGAAGTCAGGTTTGGGAGGTATGATAGCCAGCCAGGTCACCCCACCCCACCCCACCCACATGTAATATACTACGACATTTAATTAAAGCGCTCCAGAGCGATAAAATACTCATACAGTACATTCAATAACCCTTAAACTGTCCAAACATAGATCTACGTTCACTCGCATAGCGCTCTGAACGTAGATCTACTTTTTTTTTTTTTTTACATTCTTTCTTATGGAGAAAATCAAGGTCAGAGCGTTACGTGCACAAACATAGATCTATGCTTGGACAGTTTAAGGGTTAATTACCTTATAATATTTGTAGTCTTAATGCAGGGTGAGAGGTAAGTTTTATTTGTAGGAAGTCAGGTTTGGGAAATATGGTAACCAGCCAGGGCAGCCCACCCCACCCATACGTAAAATACAGTGGACCCCCGCTTAACGATCACCTCCCAATGCGACCAATTATGTAAGTGTATTTATGTAAGTGCGTTTATATGTGTATGTTTGGGGGTCTGAAATGGACTAATCTACTTCACAATATTCCTTATGGGAACAAATTCGGTCAGTACTGGCACCTGAACATACTTCTGGAATGAAAAAATTTCGTTAACCCCGGGGGCCACTGTAC